TTTTCAGCTGCCCGCTGATCACTTCACTTGATTGTCATTACTTTGCATTCTAAAAGGCCCCAAGAGTTACTGTTAGCTTGCTTCAGTATCAGAGAAACAGGTAAGAGGGCTCTAAATATAAGGAAAAAATGTAAAGTCAAGCAGTCTCTCAACACCAAAATATATAAACACCTACAACTCTTTTCATAGAAGGTACCAAAAACATTATTAAAAAAAATAATAACTACTTTACCTTTATATGTTTTACTCCACAGCTCACCACTCTGTTTGGCTGATATGGATCCCAGGAAATATCAAAAATCTGTCCAAAAAAATTAAAAGTTGCTATGTTGATCATGTGATGTTTTCCCCTTCTTCCAGATACCAGTCCAATTGCCAAGACTCTAACCTAACACTTAGAACACAACGTTCGTTACCTGCACAGAATAAAAATGGAGGATTTGGCTCTGGAATGAGTCAGGAACTGGTAACACACACTTTATCACCTCTTGTCTACTCACTTTAGGCCTGAATAGAGAGGTTAACCACAATCACTGAGAACTGGTATCGTATTTTTAATTTTGTCCAACTAGGGTAAATAAACAAATTTTGGTGATTTAGGATAATTTTTGGATCAAATTTTCTGTATTCTCCACAGTGCTAATAAAAACTTTTTTTCAATAAAAATTAAAAGAATTATAAAATGTTTTATTTTACTAGGAAAAATTTTAATAGATAACTGCAAGGTGACACAGCCCTTGTAGTCTGCTAACACCTGGTCAGTTAGAGCATAGGCTTCTAATTAGTGTCATTACTATATTAGTGCAAAGCACTCCAGCCCAAAGCCTGTTCCCAAAGCCCACAAGACATTTCTTTAATGCTTTGATGAAAACAGTCATGTTTACTCCTTTCCTAGGAGAGGAATTTCACTGCTCAGTTCAGAGTGGAAAGGGGACGTGGAGAAGAAGGGGAGAGCTGTTTAACCTGGGAGTGCTGATGTTAAGCTAGCCATGTGGCCTAATAATAACTACAATTCCATGTGGCTGATAGTCTCTAATAATCATAGAACATAAGGCAGAGGCATTTATCTGACATTAAGCCCACCTAAAATAGTCCTTCAGGCCATCATTTTAATCTGACCCAAAAAGCATATTTTCAATTCTCCAAGGAACTGAAAACATATTCTACAGTATTGTCATTCTTTAAGAAGAGCTACCAGACAGTTTGCAGAGAGTTCTATTTCCATTTTGGAGACAGGGAAGAAAAGACTTTCTGTCAACTCAGAGAGTCAAACCACCTGCAGTGATTGTTTAAAATGCATATTTCCAGGGCCCATCTAAGATATTCTCATTTAGGGGGTCTGGAATCAAGTCCAAGCACCTGCGTTTTTAAACGGAGTTCTCGAAACTCTGATGCAGGTGGTCCATTGACCACAGACTGTGGAGTGCTACTAGAAAGGGAAAGACCAATTGTCAGGGCCAAAGTCTAGACCAGAGAAAGAAACTAGACCATTAATTTCTCATCACATAGAAGGGAGAAATTATGGACTCAGAGCACTGAACAAAAAGTACTTGATCCAAGTTTCCATTTTAGCTATTCAAGCTCAGGCAAGTCTCAGCATCTCTAACCTTAACTTCATCTACTCTAAAATGGGTAACACCACCTCAGTTTTATGAGGTCAATTAAAATAATGCATGTGAAATCATTTTGCAAGCCATAAAACACTCATCATACAAATCTAATGGATTAAATATCTTAGTCACTAAAATAATCTTGAAGATAATCTTGAAGGTAACCATAAGCAGCCAATAATTCATACGGCACCAAGGCATCAGTAATAAAGAGCAAAACGACATGTGATACAGATTATGGGGTGTGGGAAAACAACGATCTAAAGTATTTTATCAAAACACCCTTGGCTTTTAAAATTACAGACTTCTCACTAGTGTAGTGCTGCACTTTTTACAATCTACCCTTAATGAGAGTATAGCAAAGCAATAGGGCACAGTCATTGAAATCAGACAGGCAGGTTGCATGACATTCAGTAGTGTTGAAAGGAAAATTTTAGACAAATTAGGTTTAACAGACTTTAACTGAACAAAGAACTATTTGCAAATCAGCAGTCCTCAGAACCAAGAGAGGCTCAGAAAGCTCCACTCTGCAAACTGGGCAGGCAGTATTCACAGACAGAAAAAGGAAGTGATGTACAGAAACAGCTTGATTGGTTACAGCTTGGCATTTGCCTTATTTGATATGGTCTGATCAGTGGGCAGCCTGTGATTGGCTGAAACTCGGCTGCTGTGATTGGCTGAGACTCAGCTATTTGTTACAAAAGCATACTCCTAAGTTAGGCTTTCAGTTTGTTTATTTACCAAGTTAAGTTGCAGTTCCTTACATAGAGACTCAGGGTATGGAGGCAGCCTCAGGCCAGATATAGTTTAATAGTAGGAATTAAGCAACAATAAAAGCACTTTATATATAAGCCAGTGTGATTACATTAGGTTATTTTTCTAAGTAAGGACATTTTATTGGTTGAAAGTGTCCATAACTTTAGTTTACTAGGCCTAAAATTCTGACAAACAGTATATTAATTCAGGTAAGACAATATGAAATTATTCAGAAAAAAGTGGTAATTGCAGAATAACAAAATATTACATGTGAGTTTGTTCTCAGTAGAGCTA